ACCCATCACCTCCAGTATATAGGGCTGGCGCCCTACTCGTTTGAGCCACAGGCCCTGCCCAGTACAGAAATTTTAGAGTTCAGTCCACAAACTTCAGAATCAGTATTACTACAAGTGTCTAGTTTTCTAGTGAAATAGTGTTTCTTGTTGACAGAATTTTACTATACTGTTTTCTTAAACAAATTGAGCAAGTCAACTTTAATTTTTGTAAGACTTTAAAAGGTTGATTTATAGCCACTTTCAAAAACATGAAAATTGTGAGAGATGTAAGGAGGGAGAGAAGAGAGAAGAACAACTAGAGGACCCATCCTTTGCCTTAGTTTACTTCACAGAATTGTTACAAGAAATTCAAAATGTGAGCGTTGAAGCCACTTGATTAAAATAAGCTGGGTCAGCTTCAAACGCACAATAGATTCTATTTTTAATGAAATCAATAAAATGATAAAACAACAGTGTGAACAGTTCCCAAGTAAGTGCCTGTTTGTATAATGCTAAAGAGTCCACATCCTGGCTTATGTCTATCACTGATCAGTAATCAGTAGATAAGTTTGTCTATCCTCTGTGGACTCGTAGTTCTCTACTTAATGGTTGTTTATGAAACAGAGCTGAGGTGTTTACTCAGCAGCAACCATTTCAACATTTTCCTAGTAGCTACTGAGTGAAACATTGGGCCTAAGCCTTTAAAAGTTTTTTTCATGTGCTAGATCTCCAAAGGGGAAAGTTGAGGAAAGAAATCCCTGATAGGCAAGAATAGGATTACTACTGCCTATCAGTCAAAATTATGAGAGAGTACGGGACCTAGTTGGCCTTAGTTCATTCTTCTTGGTGTGGAAATATGTAGGTCATAGGGGAGTATTTTAAGAAGTAAAATTATGCTTTTTTATACCATTTCTAATATATTTTTTATATTTTAGAGAAGGTATCCCTTTTATGTCAGAAAAGAAAAGAAATATGAATATAACCAGCATTTCTTTAGAACGTGAGCACTTTGCTAAGCTGTGTGAAGAATACAGAGAAAACAAAGTACAGGCCTTGATTTACAGAGCTAACAGGAAAGTTGCTTTTAAGATACTGACATAGAAGAGCAAACAGTAAAAAATAACATTTTATTAACTGTTTAATTGTACAGGGCAGATTATAAATGGTAGTGAGTGTTCAGACAAGGGAAGTCCGTGAAGGCTTGCACATTCAAGGTGTTATAGCAGGAGTTGGAACTTAAGCCTTGAAGCCTGCTTAGGACTTAAACTAGAGAGAAGAAACAAATGGAACCACATGAACAAAAGAGCCTGTGCAACAGTGGTAATGGAAAGGAAGGAATCATGATGAGAATGATTTTAAAGAAGCAAATAGTAGTACTTAGGGACCACTTGATTATAAGCAACATGCAAAAAAAAAAAAAAAGAAGGTGTGAATATGATACCAAGGTCTAGGTTAAAGGAAGAGAGTAATGTGCCATTGATGGGAATGAAGAATTTGCAAAGGGGAACCTATTTTCAAGAAAAGGTAGCATTTACTTTTAGACATGTTTCACATAAGATATTATTGTTTTCTGGCAAGATATCCATATGGAAATTTTCATTATACAATTTGAAATGAAAGACTAGAGCATATTTGAAAATATATTACTAGAGAAATTGGTGATCATTAGCATAGACGTGATTGTCAAAACTGTCAAATACAGTTGAACTGTTATAGTTCCTTTAGAAAGAAAAACAGACTAAAAACTAAATTTTGGAAAAAAGACAAGCGCGTTAGGGAAAAAAATGAAAGAATGGGAGTGGTTAGGAAGGGAGTGATCAACAGTGTCACAGCTGCAAAGTCGAGAGAAAAATTTCTGACAAGAGGACATTGAATTTGGCAATAAGGAACGTGAATTTGTCTTTCTGCATAAATTTACTGAATAAGAAATTATTTTCAGCAAAATAACCTCAAAAATCAGGTTTCAAAATTTCTTAAGAATGGAAGTTATATTAGAGAAATGAAAACATTGGAAAGTTCATTTTCTGATGATAAGTGAAAAGAAAATAGCAAAGCTAAGAATTTTTAAAACAATAAAAACATTCTATACATGTTAAGGGATACCTGTCTGTATCCGCTACATATTTGATCTAGTAGAGGAATAGCAGGTGGTAAAAACTAAAATGGTAGCAGTCTCTAATTGAGGTAGGAACATATTCTTGACATTTCATCTAAAAGGCATTATTTAGAAGGCTGGACATGGTGGCTCATGCTTTTTATAATCCTGTCACTCTGGGAGGCTGAGGTGGGTGGACTGCTTGAGCTCAAGAGTTCAAGACCAGCCTGAGCAAGACCCCATCTCTACTAAAAACAGGAAAAACTAGCTGGATGTCATGGTGGGCTCCTGTAGTCCTAGCTCCTTGGGAGGCTGAGGCAAGAGGGTCACTTGAGCCCAAGAGTTTGAGGTTGCTGTGAGCTATAATGATGCCATGGCATTCTACCCAGGGCAATATCCTGAGACTCTCTCTCAAAAAAATAAAAGGCATTTAGACAAGAAATGGAAATAGATCTCTACTTTAAAATATGTCATATCTTCAAATGAAAACTGCATCTATTTCTTTGTTGCATAATAAGAATTTACTCTTTGTGTAATAATTAATTAAATATATCTTTTGATTAGTGATTGCTGCCATTTAACTAGCTAAATGATGATTTAAATGAAATATATTTCGTGCACTATTAAATATGTGTCATGTCATTTATTACTGAGTTAGCACATAATTGCAAATATATATTTAATATTACACTGTCAATTTTTCAAGTATCATGTGAAAGTTTTCATAAATATTCCTGCACAGGAGTGTCCCATCGTGTTTTAAATTAGGCTATACTTTAAGTGTATAGATTTAAAGGGAAAGTGTGTTTGCGTATTTATATTCTTATGACATGTTGTACGGACCTGAAAAGTACTAATGAATGATTTTCTTAAAGTAATTGCTAATTAATTTTCTGAACTACAGTAGAACTTCTATAAGTTGACCATCCAAAGGACTGTAACAAACTGGTCAACATACAGAGGTGGTCAACATAAGGAACTAGGCCTACTGTACTGATACATACATGCGGTGCATGTCATGTCTGGTCTATGAAAATTAGCTCAACTTAAGGAGGTGGTCAATGTAGGGAGGTGGTGAACTATGACGGTTCTACTATATTTTAAAATACATAATTTTTCTATCCAAACATAGAAAAGTATGATAAACATATGGTATAAAAGATAAATGGTACACCTATATAGGGCACTTAACATGAATGAAACTTGCAAGTACTGGAATTTTCTCTGGGTGAGTCAGTAAGTTATGAGTGAATGTGAAGGGCTAAGTTATTACTGTATCTTGCTGTAGACTTTATAAACACTGTACACTTAGCCTATACTAAATTTATTAAAATTTTTTTTCTCAATAACAATTTAACCTTAGCTTACTGTAACTTTATTGCTTTATAAGCTTTTTAAACATGTTTTGATTTTTGTAAAACAAAAATATAATGTATAGCTATACAAAAATGCTTCTTCCTATCCTTATGCTATAAACTTTTCTTTATTTTTAAATTTTTTTAACTTTTTTTTTTAAAAACTAAGACACAACTCCACACATTAGCCTAGGCCTACACAGGGTCTGAATCATTGATATCACTGTCTTCCACATCCACATTTTTTCACACTGGCAGGTCTTCAGGGACAATAGTACACATGGAGCTGTCATCTCCTATGATAACAACGCCTTCTTCTGGAATAGTTCCTGAGGGACCTGCCTGAAGTTATTTTATAGTTAACTTTTTATATATAGGCAGAAAGAATACACTCTAAAATAAAGATTAAAAAGTATAGTATAGAAAATACACAAGCCAGTAACATAGTTGTTCATTATCAATATCAAGTATTATGTACTGTTTTAAACATATATACATACTTTTATTTGACTGGCAGTGAAGTAGGTTTGTTTATGCCAGCATCACCATGAACATGTGAGTAGTGCCTTATGCTATGATATTGCAAGCAATACAATGTCACTAGGTGATAGAAACTTGTGAGCACTATTATAATCTTGTGGGACTCTTATTGTTTATGCATGCATTCTGTCATTGACCAATACATCCGTCGTTATGCAGTGCATGACTATATTTATTTAGCACAATGTCAATCCTATGGTAAGTACATAGGTATTGATAACTATTATTGTTACTGTGTGCCTCATGTGGAGTTCCCAATAAATGATAATGTCTTTTCCTTTTTACTGACAACCTATCCTCCACTAGCATAAAATTATAGTCAATATGATATGATACCATCTAACATTCAGGAAGTGACCTGTGTTATTCCTTCTGAAATCAACAAGCAGGTGAGCAAAGGCTTGTAAAATTCATTTTTACTTCTTAGTACAGATTTCAGTGAGTGTACTAAAAGAGAGATCTTTTGAGGGTGGAGTCTTTTCTTAAAATAGGTTGAGTTCACACATGAAAGCCATTTGTAAGGATCAACTTTTGAGTGTCTGAATAATAACTGGTTCCATGTTGTAAAACTCTATAGTTTCAAAGGCTATCTTAGTAGAAGAAGAGGTACTTGTATTAGGAACTTTTGCATACACATTCCTGAAAGTGGAATGAGTAGTATAATACACTCTCATATATTACCCATCATCCAGTTCCAGCAATTATCAACTAAAGAGGGTTTTAATAGAAACACTTAAATCAAAAATTGACATTTCCACCTCTATATAAGTGTTTCTCAAATTTATTACTTTTTAATCCCATATTATGGGTCTAGTTAGAATCCACTTTAACATTTGCTCCTTGTTAAAGTTTCATTTACTATTAATTTGGATTAATAATCAAAGATTTATTTTCTATAAACAATCATTTAAAATTTTTCAGGACACATTTTTTTAAATCAAAAGAAAAATGCATGAGTTTGTAACTTCGTTTATAAAAAGGGAAAGAGTTAAATGTGCTGGGTAGAATATATTTTGTTCTTTGTTTTTAAGGTTTGGCTTGAGCAACAAGTTTGATACTGAATTTCCCTCAGTTCTAACAGGGAAGGTAAGTGAGAGTCTGCTTTGAATTTTCAATTCTAAAGCACTGTTTGATGGCTTAGTCAGTGTTAGGACAAATGTTTTGAATCATTAGTAATAAAGTTAAATAACAGGAGGCTTCTGTGCTTGGAAGTTGTGTTGGTAGTGACTGATAGCTGTCTCTATAACTACCGGCCTCTGACCAGTTATTCTGTCCATTGTTCATTAAAGCCATCTATTATTTATTTATCTTCTCAGCTTTCCCAGTTTTTCATTTCTTCTCAGCACAGGTAGCTTTAATTGTTTTCATTCAGGTCAGTAATTTCCAATGTTTTTAGAGTTAAAGTAATTTTTTAAATGTATCACTATTACTTTTAGGTAGTTCTGAGTTTCTAAAATTGGACTCACCTTTCTGTTTCCTGGTTCCTCTATCATCAATAGTTATTTTCTATAAAATTCAAAGACTTCCTAGAATTTGAAACAGTAAGTCTAGAGACCTTATGTACAGCATGATGAATATAGTTAATAATATCATATTGTATACTGGAAATAACTAAGAAAGTAGATTTCAGGTGCTCTTTCTACATACACAAAAAAGATAAGTATATGAAAAGATGAGTATGTTAATTTGCTTGACTATAGTAATTTCACTGGGTGTAAATAAAAACATCATGTTGTATACTTTAAATACATACACTTTTTAAAAAGAAACTGTATTTGGAAAATCCGCTTATAACCATAATGCTAACTTTCTAGGCCCAAAAGTAGGAGACTGTGCCTAAGGCAAAATGTTACATTGTTTTAGTGTGAATTTTTCTCATATTGTTAGCGAGAAAAGCAAGTATATATATATATATATATACACACACACACACATATATATGCAGTATATATAATATAAGAAATGGGAGCAATAAGAACATATTAATTATATTTTTACAAAGAATTTTAGAAAGATATACACAAAACTAATGAAAGTGATTTTTTTTTCATGAGAGAAGGGGAATGAGATGACTATAAATAAGAGTGAGGGCTCGGCGCCTATATCTCAACCGGCAAAGGCGCCAGCTATGTACACCTAAGGTGGCGGGTTCGAATCCCCAGCCCGGACCCGCCAAACAACAATGATGGCTGCAACCAAAAAATAGCCGGGCGTTGTGGCGGGCGCCTGTGGTCCCAGCTACTTGGGAGGTGGAGGCAAGAGACTCGCTTGAGCCCAGGAGTTGGAGGTTGCTGTGAGCTGTAATGCCACGGCACTCTACCCAGGGGGACAGCTTGAGGCTCTGTCTCAAAAAAAAAAAAAAAGGAGTGAGGATGAGGCAGTTTGCTGAATATCTTTTAGTACTGTTTTCATTTTTGAACTTTAATTTAATTTTAATTTGTTCTCTCTTGTTCTAACTCTTTGAGAATGGGATAAGACACTTCTACTGATACTGGCTTCTTTTTGTCATGACGCATTTTCCAGCTTTTTACTCTCACTTTTGGCCTTCTTCCCAGCCTCCTTGTAGATGAGTAGAAAAGACAACAGACATATTTTTTTTCAAAGGAGTAACTGTTAGTCATAAGAAATTCTATTTAATTTAACTTTGAAAGTTATGTTGTACTTTATTTTCCTGATTTCCCCCCTGAAAAATCGGAGCTAGCTTGAGACAGAATAAAGGTTTACTGTCATATCTGGGTTGAAATCTAAGTTGTATTACGTATTGGCTACATGACCTTGGGCAAGCCACTTTTCTGAGCCTCAATTCTTTTTTGAAAAATAGAGATAATGCTGATAGTTACCTCACATCTTATTTTAAGCCTTAAATGAGATAGTATATGTAAAATTACTAATATATCATAGGTACTTATTAGCTCCCCAATGGTAGTTTGTAGTTGCTATTGACTATTCTTCATCAGTGTATCCCAGTTTCACCCTGATTGTTTTTTCGATTTACTTACTGTAATTTCATTTTTAATTGCACTCACTTTTTCATCATTTAAGTAATAACATTTTCTCTTCATCCCACCACTTATTTGTCCTATTGACTGATGATATTTTTTTATCTCTCCTGAGTTATAATATCAAATCCTTCCATAGAATAATAAGCAGATGAGCATAGTTTCTGAATAAGTTAGCCCTGGAAAATTCCTGACCTTCAACTTTTTTGAACCATTTGGCGTGAGATTTTGGCCTCATTTTATAGTATATTATACTTTCCTATCCTAATTGTTTAGGATATTCATCAACTGAAGCAGCAGCCTAGATTTAGATTTGTTTTATGTACATTAAACATTCATTTTCTCCAAATGAATAAAATAGCTGTGGAAATCTCTCTTGAGTAATAACATATTTGTAGAAAGAGGGAATCAATATTAAAACTAATGGGAATGTAAATTACTAGTGTTCCAATGGTAAATTTATTCTTTATGTTGCCCTTGCTGCTGCTGCATGTGTTGTTTGGGCGGTTATGTCTAGCTTTAATATTGACTTAGTTTTTTTTAAGTTTGAATTACAGGTCCTAGAAATTATGGAAAACGCATATCCTAAAATTTATGTTAGTGAATGGAGTTCCTAGGCCATAAGAATTATCTATTTTTGAAATTGGCCAATTTTATGTGCTTGAGGAATCTTTAGAATCTTTTCACACCTCTTCATTTCTTTCCAACCCATCTAAAGCTAAAAATACCTCTGGCCCAAAATGTAGTATACTTTTTAAACTAGAGGAATAAGAATGGTAAGCAGCTTTTGATGTGCATTCATACAACCTAGATGATGTAGATATGAGCTATTCTTGAAGATACCCATTATTTCCAAGTGACTATTTTTGTAGCACATATTATAATGGTACGTGGATATTTATTCAATGTGCATTAAAACATTTCTCATGTATTAGGTAAGGCATAAATGATAACATGACGATTTTCTTTGTGTTGGGTGATGAGAAAAACTCTAAAAGGAATTCTGAAGGTCTGATTTTGTGGAAAGTCACATGGTAGTAGCTTCGGTTTTATTCATTTTCTCTTTAATGATATAATTTTTCTCCAGTAGGTGCTTTCATTTGTGTAGATTCCTTCAGATTATCAAAATACTTCTCTGATAACTTGGGAGAATAAGCAAAATGAATTTACAGAATCTTAAAAAGAATTAAAAGAGGGAAAAAAGGGTCTGAACTTCTAACTTAATAGCTCATATGTTAAAATATTTAAAAATGGATAAATGTAGAAAAATACAGCTTGTATAAAACCAGTCTTCCTGTATGAATGAAATTCTAAATAGCTTTTATGTCTACCTGAGCTAAGCAAAATTGCAGAGTAAATTCTGAAAATCTAAAAAGTTATTCTGATAGGCTCTTTGTGGCTCAATATTAATTTTTTCTTCTTAAGTTCTGAAAAGATTGATTTTGTACCTTTTCACTAAAGACGAGTTCTCCTGTCATTATAGAACATTCAAGCAGGTGTAGGCACACATTTTTTGGTGACCAGAAAATGAAAGAACTACAGAACTTTATAAATGAAATTAAAGCTTCTACCCCTCAGCTTGAAACAATTAAATAGTGTAAAGGGGGAGATTAGTGTGCAGCGTTGAGAATTTAAGCTATAAAAAGGTATCTTTTCTATTGTGGTCTGGTATGACAAGTGATTGATAGGGTTGTGTTCTCCCCAGGATTGAAGGAGAGAAATAAGTTCTGCTGGGGTTTGCTTAGATTTTCTTCTGTTTGCAGAATCTCCTGCCTCCCATTATAAAATATTATGACTCTTTCCCCCACCTTTATGATGTGGTTTTCTTTTTTCTTTCCAAGAGAGTAAAAGGGAATGAAATATTTCTTTATAACCTACTGTTCGGCTAGAAAGTAAAGGGCTTCCATCTTACTTTCATGCCTAGAGATACTCAATTATATGAAAGTAAATGAGTAAAATGTTACTAACTCTGATTCTGCACAGTTAACTAAACATTTCTTCATCTTACTTAAAATTAGGAGTTAACCAGTCTCATTTCTTTCTTTTTTTTTTTTTTTTTTTTAGAGACAGAGTCTCACTTTATTGCCCTTGGTAGAGTGCTGTGGTGTCACAGCTCACAGCAACCTCCAGCTCTTAGGCTTATGGGATTCTCTTGCCTCAGCCTCCCAAGTAGCTGGGAGTGCCCATCTATTTTTTTGTTGCAGTTTAGGCCAGAGCCAGGTTTAAACCTACCACCCTTGGTATATGGGGCCAGCGCCCTACCCCACTGAGCCACAGGCGCCACCCCCAGTTCTCATTTCTTATGCCTTTATCTCTGTTTTATGATTTTTATTGTTAATTAAAATACAGATTTCATTCAGAGCCATCTGACCTCTTTTTAAAGTCAAAATGCAGAATTTTAGTTTGAAATTCTAGTATTTTGTTTTATAACTTAAAAAATCTGAATATCTGAGTTCTCATTTTTAGTAACTTGAATATTTTAATTTTTAATTTATCTATGGTAAGAGAGTACACCTGAGATTATTATGTATTAAAAGAAGAAAGTGTTGGCAGAGAAGGAAAGTTGTCACATTTTAGGAATGTTTTTTGTTTTTATTTCCAGAAGTGTATAATAAAAGACAAACGTTATAATCAGTTTTATATAGCATACAATTTATTTTATTCATTGTGTTTTAATAAAAAGCCAGTTTTCCTTTCCCTCTTTCATTTTATTCTTTAAATTTAATCTCCCTCAGACTTCTAATACTATTTATCCCTAGTATAAATGGAGCTTTCTTTTCTAAGCCTCCTTATAAGCATTTTTTTTCTTTTGAACTGACTCATTTCTGCATTTAGCCTTTTTTATTTTTTCATCTGTGTTTGTGCTTACTTTTAAATAAAAATTTAAGTTATAATTATAAGCAGCTAAATTTGTAAATGGACAGATTTAACAATGTTATTATTTGCATGAATTTATATAGCAATTTGTCATATTTTAGAAATGTGTTCATGATACTAGCTACACAATTTAAAGAGAGTTGATAGCAATGTAATATTACCAATTATAGCTATATACATATATAATTCCTTATTTTAACTTCCGTTTGGTTCCTCAGTGATTCCTTAAGAAAAAAGAAGTGGAATATTGTGGTAAACCTTAAGATAATAACTTTGTACCTTGCTCTTAGAATACTTTGTTTTTTTCACTGAAGAATTGAAGAACTAAACATTGAATATGCATTCAAAATGTAGCAGATTGTTTTTATTGATCATGTAATGTATAGCAAAACTGTGGAATAGTAAGACTTACCTGATTAAACCCCTTGCCTTCAGCTAAGACTCCATGCAAAAGACCTTTTCTTTCCTTTCTCCAAATCTTCTTAGAGACAGGATTCATAGACTTTTTTTTCCCAAAATATTCTAGTCAGGAGGTTCTGGGGTTTTTGGTTTTGGGTTTGTTTTGAGACAGAGTATCACTTTGTCACTCTTGGTAGAGTGCTATGGCATCATAGCTCACAGCAACCTCAAACTCTGAGGCTCAAGTGATTCTCTTGCCTCAGCCTCTCGAGTAGCTGAGAGGGGGACCACAGGCAACCGCCACAGTGCCTGAGTATTTTTAGAGGCAGGGTCTCACTCTTGCTCAGGATGGTCTTGAACCAGTGAGCTCAAGCAATCCACCCATCTCAGCCTCCCAGAGTTCTAGGATTACAGGTGTGAGCCACTGCACCCAGCCAGGAGGTTCTTTATGAAGTTTGATTTTTCCGTTCCCTGTGAAGTATGTGAAACAAATATTATTATTGTTATTTTATAGATGGGAAATTTATACTTAGAAAAATTAAATGATTTTGCCTGAGATTTTTTCATAGCTAATAACTATAATCTGCATCTCTTGATTTATTGTCTAATGTCCTTAGCTTGTTAGTGTTTTCGGTTTTTAATAAAGGCATGGTTCTCTGAATTTATTTCATACTTAACTCAGAAATTTTGTCATTTAATTAGGATTCTTTGTATGCAGTGATTGTCTTTACATCATGTTACTGACGATCTAGATGGAGAATAAGACTAGTTTACTTGTCCCATGTAAACAAATTTTTGAACATTACAATTTCACAACTCTTTTTGGTTAACATATTAGGAGGAAAATCCAATTTGTGGGCTAAACAATAAACAATTAACCTTACTGGGGACATCAGCAATTCTAATAAAGCTTATATGTGTATCTTCAATGTTGTAGTCATGACTGGGCTAAATTTTGTGGTCATGTATCTTTATAACATCTCCTGATAGATATACATTTTGTAGTTTTGATTCTGAAACATCTCTATTAAGATAATAATGTAATGGCTCGGTGCCTGTGGCTCAAGTGGCTAAGGCGCCAGCCACATACACCTAAGGTGGCGGGTGCGAATCCAGCCCAGGACCACCAAGTAACAATGACAGCTACAACCAAAAAATAGCCAGGCGTTGGGGCAGGCGCCTGTGGTTCCAGCTACTTGGGAGGCTGAGGCAGGAGACTCGCTTGAGCCCAGGAGTTGGAGGTTGCTGTGAGCTGTGATGCCATAGCACTCTACCCAGGGGAATAGCTTGAGGCTCTGTCTCAAAAAAAAAAAAAAAAGATAATAATGTAATAAATTGATTGCTCTAATATGGTTTTTATTTGTAAGTTTTAGTAAAGCTCTGTAATAGAATTGTTTTGTAGCAGCTTTTCTAACAAATTAATAATTTTTGCTTTTATAGCCAAATGCTGAATTTTTTCCCATAAAATTTATATTCTAATGGCTTTCTTGATTAAAGAGAATCTTTTTTTTTTTCATTGTTGGGAATTCATTGAATAGAATCATTTTTGTGATCTAGAAGTGTGATTTCACTGATAGCAAACCATTATGTTTTTAATAGACCATTAAATTGTATAACCTTCAAGCAGAATTGTTGGTATAAATCTGATTATGCCAGTCATGCTCATGCCTTTGAACTGACTTTGTCTTTGTTTACAGAGAGGCACAAGGAACCAGGAATGGAGGTAGTAACTAGAAAAATAAAATTTGTGTATTTAAAAGCCTTTCAGCTTTCAAAGTTTATAGCAATTATGAGTCTGTTATATTAACAGGCCATTTTGAATATAACCTCTAGGCATTGTCTTTTAGCATAACTTTCCATGCAAACAATGGCAAGTATTAAAATTGTTCTATTGCAGATTTGCCAGGGAAAAAATGTTTGAGAGTTATCTTTTAAAAAGTCTAGGAATATTGCCAAGGTGTAATTTTAATTCCATTTCCTCTAGTAGTATTTGGGTTTTTATTATGCTTTTATTATGCTTCTTGTCTCACTCAATTTTGGAGTACTGGAGACTGTAAATAATACTGCTTTGATACAAAGAATATTTGGTAAGAAAACTGCTAGACAGGTATCCTTTACCATCAATTTTATCACTGCCATTTTATTGTTGGTCATTTCAGAAGTATTTGAACATCAGACTAAGCTCTGTGAACACGAAATTAATTATATTGTTTTGCTTTGCAATGTAATCCAAGAGCATGTGATATATATTTATGGGAAGGATATGTATTTAGACATTTGTAATGTCTTAAAGTATTTGTAATAAAACAAACATTTTTCTTAGGTTTAAGGATAAGTAGTGGAAAGCTGCCCACAAACTGTTAAAGATTGTGCCCTGTTGTAGGTGGCCCCAGAAGAATTTAAGACCAGCATTGGCCATGTGAATGCATGTTTGAGAAAGTCTCTCCCAGTCAATGTGAAATGGCTGCTGTGTGGTTGTCTCTGCTGCTGTTGCACACTGGGTTGCAGCCTGTGGCCTGTTATTTGTCTCAACAAAAGAGTGAGTAACTATTTTATTATACAATAATAATAAGAGCTAACTTTTTTATTTTAGATTATTATGAGAGTACATACAATTAGATTACGTGGTTTAGCTTTTGTAATGTTAAAGTCCAAGTTATAGTTGTGCCTTTCACCCAGCAAGTGTACCATATACCTGTGCAATGAAGAGCTAACATTAGTATGTGCTAAGGATTCTTTCTAGTACTTAACATGGTTTACTTAATTCTCATCGCAGTGTTATCTTTATTGTAGAGATAATAACAGAGAAATCAAGTTATTTGTCCAACTTTTATCAATACTTTATCACTTACTTAATGAGGGTTCCTATCATTTTAAATAAATGCAATATAAGTGAAGTACTTAAGTAATTATAAATGTAAGTAGGCTGCTTGTTCTTTTTATAAAACTTGAAGCCATAAATTGTTTCCAAGTTACAGATATATGGGAGAGCTTCTTCTCATCTGAAGAAATGCAGAAGTAAGAATAACATACAAAGTCCTTACTTTTGAACATGATACAGTAACATTTTATTATAATGTTACTAGTTATGTCATGGATTTAAGACAACTGTTTTAATCTTGTCTTCTTTATAATTTCATTTTAGGTTTTAAAATTTTTTCCCCAGTGGGAAGACATCTTTTAAAAATTTTTACTTAAAGCCAGTGAGAAAAAATAATTTATTTGACCTAAAGTTCTTTCATAGTACCTTATTAAGGATTTCACTTAAACTTTTAATTAAAATTAGCCCACTAGATCAAATTCAAAATTATAGCACCTTAAGGAGCAATAATTGGATACAAAGTAGTTTCATTAAAACCAAAAATATCCCCCCAAAATACTAATTATTATTTTTCTCTCTTTTTCTTATGTTTTTTAATGTCTACTTGAAAAAGACAAATAATAAAATACTGGCTCTGACGTTCTGAATAGAAAAGTTAAGAATTTTATTGATTCCCTTGATAACCACGAATTGATCAAATCTTTAATTTAAATACAGCTTAGTCAAGCATGTACAATATTTTTTTTTTTTGAGACAGAGCCTCAAGCTGTCCCCCGGGTAGAGTGCCGTGGCATTACAGCTCACAGCAACCTCCAACTCCTGGGCTCTAGCGAGTCTCCTGCCTCCACCTCCCAAGTAGCTGGGACCACAGGCGCCCGCCACAACGCCCGGCTATTTTTTGGTTGCAGCAGTCATTGTTGTTTGGCGGGCCTGGGCTGGGGATTTGAACCCGCCACCTTAGGTGTACGTGGCTGGCGCCTTAGCCGGTTGAGCTATAGGCGCCGAGCCCATGTACAATATTTTTGAATGGCTTTCTATAAGTAAAAAAGAAAGAAAGCTGATAGCATAAATTTCTTAACTGTCAAATCTTTTAAAAGTTATAATAAGTAACTCCTGCCTATCCCCATTGTGTTTTAAAAGCATCAAAGGAAATTAATTATTATGTGAATTTCACATCATGTAAATAAAACCAATTTGTTATTTAATAATAGATTTTTTGTCTGAGCAAGGTGGCTCATGCCTGTAATCCTAGCACTCTGGGATGCTGAGGCTGGTGGACTGTCTGAGCTCATAGGTTTGAGACCAGCCTGAGACCTTGTCTTTTAAAACAGCTGGCATTGTGGCAGGTGCCTGTAGTTGGAGCTGTTTGGGAGGCTGGAGGCAAGAGAATCGCTTGAGCCCAAGAGTTAGAGGTTGCTGTGAGCTGTGATGCCACTACACTCTACCAAGGGCAGCAAAGTGAGACTGTATCAATGAAAAAAAAAAGCGGAATTTTTTGGTGTTAATGTTAACCATTATCTATCTGTTTTTCTGATGACCTATTTATGCTTTGCCTATTTTGTTAATACCTCCACCAGAGGGCCTGAAGTAGGAAAACCAATTTTTTTCTATCATTTGCTTTTACTATGAGTGCTTCTACTAGAATATTCAATAGAAATAAGATAATACTGATGCTGTAATCTCTCCCTACTTTTTATTATTTTGGATAATCAAGAGTTCATACTGAAGTTGAGGTATCCATGTATTTTTTTTTTTTTGAGACAGAGTCTCGATCTGTTGCCCAGGCTAGAGTGCCATGGTGTCAGCATAAGACAAAGCAACCTCAAACTCCTGGGTTCAAACAATCCTCCTGCCTCAGCCTCCTGGAGTAGCTGGGACTACAGGCATTCATCACAACACCTAGCTATTTTTTTCTATTTTTAGTAGAGAAGAGGTGTCATGCTTTCTCAGGCTGGTCTTGAATTCCTGACCTCAAGGGATCCTCCCACCTAGGCCTCTCAGAGTGTTGGGTGTAGGCTTGAGCCACTGCACCCACCATATCCATATATTTTAATTCACTAATTTATCAATGTAAATAAGTTTAATTAACATAGATTTGCAAACTGTCATCCATGAGCCAAACGCAGCCTACTCTGTTGTTAAATATTTCAGTCAATTACCAACATTTAAAATGAGAATATTTAAAATAAGATTTGAGATATCTAGCATCTCATAAAATCTAAGTATCTGGCAATCCTGGACTCAGATGCTTATATGTAAGCAATTGGCTCTTGCTGAATGGTAGCTGCTCCTTTTAAATAGGACAGATAGTCTCTTATTCACCATAGAACCTGCCTTGCTATATAAGGTATTATAATTCACAGCTCCTGATTTTGTACATGCCATGTTGTCAGCAATCTACAAGACAATGGAACATAACTTTGTGCAAATCACTGTTCTTTCTAGAGCCTTGATATTCTCACCTACAAAATTGGGTTAATACTACTTAATTTTAAAGGGGTTTTGATGAGGAGGAAATTTAAGATACCTTTTTTGTCTACATGGAGAAATAGAAAATAAAATAAAATAATTTTTATGCCTTCACTATTGCTTCCTAATCTGTAAAATAAGTTGTATAGATTATAACAGTTTACTTGGAAGGATGGTTAACATTCATAAAGCACAAATCCCTTATTTTAGAGGTGTGGAAACTGAATTTCCAAGAGGTGAAGTAACTTTCCCAGGGTCACACAACAAATAGTACAAGAAAAATAATGAGTGTTTTGTTTTGTTTTGTTTTTCTCTCTAACACTGTATTTCCTTGAATATATGGTGTTTCTTTCATCAAATTTGCTGAGACAGGAAACATTTTGTTAAGTAGTGTTTGTGATAAATAATTGGCCAACTGGGTTTTAATTCTCTAGCCATGTTTAGAAAACTTTTTCTTAGAGAGAATCAAATAGTAAATATTTTAGGCTTTGTGGGCCAATGGTCTCTGTTGCAACTACAAAGCTGTGCCATTATGCCGTATAAACAGCTATAAATAATACATAAGTGAGCAAGCATTCTTGTGTCCTCATAAAACTTTACTTATAAAGTTTTATAGTGGGCTAGATTTGGCCTATGGACTATGGTTTTCCATCCTGCTCTAGCCATCTCTAATTGAGTATCTAGCTTAATGGAAGTCATGTCTCTGTTTATCCACAGTGGAAATACTACAATAGAATTATTCTGTTCTAAGTCACAAGGTTGCAATGTGAACCAATGATTTGAAAGTGTTTTTAAGGAAAGGACTTCCATGTTAAATAGTCTGCCTTTGTGAACTACATTTTTAGTCAATATAATTCATGGACATTTCTTTGTTATTTTTTTATTTAAAAATACTAATGTTTTTAGATACATGGATCACTTTTGTAAAGCTTGAATCATGGCTATAAGTGTGCCCATCACTCAGATAGTATTCATTATGCTTGTTAGGTAAGTTTTTTTTTTTTTTACTTCTCCTTGATTTCCACTGAGTGTTACACTTGAGCTTATCCAAAAGGCTAAGTTTTACTTGCCTCTGTGCACACGTGTGCTCCATTGGTTATTTCCAATTTAATAGTGAATACATGTACTGTTTATTTTTCTATTTTTTACATACTTAAGATAATGGTCACCAGTTCCATACAAATTGCTAGAAAATGCGTTAATTCATTCTTTTTTTGGTTGAGTGGTACTCCATTGTGTGTGTGTGTCTGTGTATATGCCACCTTGTATTAATCCACTCATGAATTGATGGGTGCCTGGGTTCATTACACATCTTTGCATTTGTGAATTGTGCTGCAATAGACATTCAAGTACAGGTGTCTTTTTATTTACTTGCTTATTTATTTTTATTATTTTTTATTCAGTCATTTGTACATAGATCATAAATACATTTATGCCATTATGGGATTCAATGTGTTGATTATTTCTACAAGTTGGAGTGCTTACATCCTACTAAACAATATAGCCTTCGCTACTTTTGCCCAATTACAGAATTAAGACATTGGTGTTCTACACCTGATAGATCCAACATGTACTTGCAATATGCTCCATAGGTGTGGTCACTCTACCAACCCTCCCTCTATCGACCCACATCCCTCCCTTCCCCTCTCCCTCCCCTTTCCTCCTTCATCCTGGGCTATAGTGTTTCATTTTTAACATGTATGTTTGAGTGATTGTAAATTGATTTCACAATAGTACTGAGTACATTGGGTATTTTTTTTCCATTCCTGAGATATTTTACTAAGAAGAATATTTTCCAGCTCCATCCATGTAAACATAAAAGAGGTAAAGTCTTAATTTTTTTAATGCTGCATAGTATTCCATGGTATACATATACCACAATTTATTAATCCATTCATGGATCGATAGGAACTGGGGCTTCTTCCATGACTTGGCAATTATGAATTGAGCTGCAATAAACAATCTGGTGCAAATATCTTTCTTGTCAAATGATTTTTTGTCCTTTGGATATACACTTAGAAGAGGACTTGCCAGATCAAACGGCAGGTCTATATTGAGATCCCTGAATGTTCTACAAACTTCCTTCTAAAAAGAATGAACTAGCTTGTATTCCCACCAGCAGTGCAGAAGTGTTCCCTTTTCTCCACATCCACACCAAAATCTGTACTTTTGGGATTTTGTGATGTGGGTTACTCTTACTATGGCTAGATGGTATCTCAGAGTAGTTTTGGTTTGCATTTCTCAGATGA